CTATCTATCTATCTATCTATCTATCTATCTATCTATCTATCTATCTAATCTAGACATCAAAGAAAAGGATGAACCACGTTTAATGAGGTTAAAGGTGATATTATATCTGTGAGCAAATTAAAACATGGCTAACTACTAAAAGAGAAAATAGTTTTGTAGACTAATGACTATTTAAAAAGACATGTAACTAATATTGAAGCAGCTAATATACGCCTACCCTCAGGACACTGCTTTACAGGAATCATAGCAGACTAGAGAGCAACGATGCAAGCATTTACAACTCAGTGGTTTTTTTGATTAACTTGTCATTTTTTTGTATTTTTCATTTGGGTTTCTTGGAAAATGCTGGAGAAGCAGCAAATTAAAACTAGAAGTTCTTTCATTCTTATACATTGGCACCCTTAACTTGATTTAGTCTTCACTGCGTGGTTGCATGTGCACATGCCTGTTTCCTTGTTCATACAAGCCGTAAATCTTGGAAAACTGGCATGGCATGAATCTTTGTTTGAAATTCTTTTGTTAATCACGTTCCTTGTCAAACTGCAATGTTTCATTGGCTCCTCAGTGCTGGCATATGAAACATAAACACAAAGAGGACTCTGAAAATGATATGATAATCATAAACCTATAAGGTTCAAGTAATCAATCCTCTGCAGTCACCAGCAGCTGGCTGTCTGGAACTCTGCCATCTGCTTTGAATTCCTCATGTTTTATTTTAACGTCATTCAAATCATTTTTTTCAGTAAATCAACTCATTTCTTCCATTCCTTATTTTATCACCAAATTCCTCAGTCTTGTTCGTCCCTTCTTATTTTGATTTTCTCCTGTTTCCGTCTCTCTACGAGTCATTCTTTTGCTCAGTGTTCAGTATTCATGCGATGTCTCCCACTGAGAGAGATCGATGCTCTCATTCAGCTTCCACTGTAGCTAGGCCTTGAACTCTCCTCACAAACATCCTCCCACAGACGAAACTGTGCTGGCTACTCTTTAGTTCTCCTTTGAAAGACTTTTTTAATTCCTTGAGCCAAGCAAAAAAGAAATAATTCACCTGCTACAGGCACTTTTTAATGGCCCACATACAGTATAACACAAAAAAGGACTTTAACAGGGAGGAATGTACTACTATAAATACACACCCTCACCTCCAGTTCCTACTGTATGAAGTGTCTTGAAAAAGTCACTGCACAGCATGTGGAAACAGGATTTTTCTTCTTTGCATCTTGCTGCGTTACAACCACTAACTTGAAAGCATTTTACATGGATTTTATCTGATAGATTAATTCAGTGTAGTGCATATTTGTGAAAAGGAAAGAAAATTATACAGTAAATGTTTTCACTTTTTTTAAAAGGAAAACAGAAAAAATTACATTTGTATTCAGTCTTTTTGCTCTGACAGTTCAAATGAAACTTAAGTGCAATTAACTGCCTTCAGAAGCTAACTAGGAAGTAAACAGAGTCCACCATAAATAAATGGTCAAACAGCATCATGAAGACCAAGGAACACACCAGACAGGTCAGGAATAGAGTTGTTGAGGGGTTGAGTTATAAAACAACATCTTAAGCTTTGAACATCTCACAGAGCTCTGTTCAGGCCATCATCTGAGAAAGGAGAGCATTAACATGAGAAGCAGCCAAGAAGCCCCATGGTGACTCTGAAGGAGCTGCAGAGATCCACAGCTCAGGTGGGACAACCTGTCCACAGGAGGACTGTTAGTCCTGCACTCCACACAGTTCAGGTGGAACAACCTGTCCACAGGAGGACTGTTAGTCCTGCACTCCTCACATCTGTGGTTCCTGGCAGTGACCACAAGAAAACTAAGAAGTTATGTTTGCAGTTTGTTACAAACCAGAAGCAGCTCTGCTCAGATCAGAGCAAACTCAACGTTTTTCACACCGTGTGGCAAAAACCTGACACTATCCATGACCCTGAACGCACCGTCCTCTGTGAAGCTTGAACCTTCCAGCAGGACAACCACCTGAAACATCCAGCAGAACTCCAGCAGAACCATTCAGATCAGACATGTTCATGAATGGGCCAAAGGCCAGACCTAAACCCAGCAGAGGATCTGTGGCAGGACCTGAACATTACAGTTCATGGACGCTCCTGGTCCAATCTGTGCTGCAGTTATTGTAAAAAGAACAATGGGTAAAAATTTCAATCTCTAAATGTGTGAAGCTGGTACAAACTTGCAGCTGTTATTGCAGTGAAATGTGTTTATCTATTGTATTGACTCGTGGGGGGTGGGGGCGTTAAATGCACATTCATGCTACACTTTTCAAACTTTTCATTTTAAAATAAGTTTGAAAACCATGTCTCAATGTCTTTGTATCACGTTGTGTTGGTGTGTGATGGACTCCAGTAAAATAGTTTGTGTGATAAAAAGTGGAAGAACATCTACAGATATGAATTTACAGAACAACCTCTAATACAGAAGACTTCACTCTTCAACATCAAAGATGTCTGTGTTGTTATGATACGTCTGAAATTCAGCTTTTATGTGTTCGTATTGTCATAAAGGCTTTATCAGGGTGACCATGGATCACACAGGAGAAAACTGGTATCAAAGATGGCAGCTACATGACAGGAACCAGTCACGATGCTTGAAACCTCCTCTGGTTCCCCTCAGCTTCTACCGTCATCTGGTCTGTTTTGCTGATTCAAACAAATGACAATAATAAAAGCAACTTCTTTGACAAACCGTTTGTAACTGAACCGTCTGTTGAGAGTTTTTACATCATTACATGAACTTGAGATAAAAGATGCTACAAATCTACTCATCTAAATAGCTGTGAAATTTCTGCATTTTTTTTTCATTCAACCTTTATTTAGACAGGTAAATCCCATTGAGCCTTGAGGACTCATTTACAAGCGAGACCTGAATTCAACAAAGAACGATGACAACAATGGACAACAGCGACAACAATAGGCAGTTATAAAAAGGCATACAGATTTTTTTTTTTTTACTTTTTTTACAAATAAGATGGCAAAAAGAGTAACAAAAACAGCTAGATTATAAGGCGAATGTAGAAAACTAAAAACAGGAACATGTCTGCATTGGTCCTTGCCAGGAGTCCAACAGATTCTTAAAGCCACTTAGAGAGGTCAAGGTGGAGAGCTTCAGATCTTTTTACAAGATATTCCAGGAAACAGGAGCAGAGTAGGAGAAGGACCTTTTGCCTAGTTCAGTCCTCACTGAGGGAACACTGCAGGTAATAATGTCCTGAGAGTGCATGCTGTAGCTGCACTCACGCAGAAACATGTCAAGTCAAGTCAAGTCACATTTATTTATATAGCACATTTAAAACAGTAACTGTTATCAAAGTGTAGGAGGAGATGTATGAAGGCAGCAGACCAAGAAGTATTTAAAGATGAAAATGCACCAGTGAGAGTCTGTGTGAAGTTAATGATGTCCAATTAACCAGTGAATACAGGGTGCAGTGGTGGGTACAATAATCACAGCCAGTTATGAATCTAGATACACCTGGACCTATACCTGGACCTACCCTTCTGTGTCCGTCTGTCTCTCCTTCCTGTCCTCTCAACCAGCCGGTCAAAACAGATGGCCGCTTGTCCTGAGCCTGGTTCTGCTGGAGGTTTCTTCCTTTTAAAAGGGAGTTTTTCCTTTCCACTGTTGCCACTGTGCTTGCTCAGGATGGGAGACTGCTACGAGGCCAAGATTCAACTTGTCTGCTGGATTCCTTAGATAGAGAACTTTACTAATTGGCTTTTATGTATGTGAATGTTTCTGTAAAGTGCCCTGAGACAACTTTGTTGTGACTTGGCTCTATATAAATAAACTGAATTGAATTGAATCTTAGTGCACCATGATAGACAGCATCCAACATCTACAGGGTGCTTGTAGGAGCATTCATGTAAATAATGTCACCGTAATCAATGGATGGAAAGTCACAGATACACAGATACAATTTATAGGTGCACTTAAAATATAACTTCAATCCATCCATCCATTATCTTCCGCTTGTTCTGAAGTCAGGTCTCCGGGGCAGCAGCTTGAGCAGGGAAGCTTAGACATCTATTTTCACAGCCACCTCTTCCAGCTCTTCTAGGAGGATTCCAAGGTGTTCCCAGGCCAACAAAGAGACGTAGTCTCTCCAGTGAGTCCTGGGTTTTCTCTGGGGTCTCCTCCCCATCAGACTTGCCCAAATAACCTCCCTAGGGAGGTGCCCAGGAAGCATCCTTACCAGATGCCCAAACCACGTCAACTGGCTCCTCTCAATGGTAAATGGACTGTATTTATATAGCGCCTTTCTGTCTTATCGAGATAATCAAGGCACTTTACACT